AAATACTTTTCAAAAGAACACTTCTGCTAGCAGAAAATATGTCTGCATTATGTGTGTGTGCAATATAAAATCATAGCCATAAGCACAGATGTCCATGAAAAAATAAACTGTTGAATTAAGCATGATCAGTACTGAGATTGTCTGTTTAATATTCATTTGCTACTCATTCATTCGTTTTGTTGCTTGCTAGCAGATAAGCAGGAGCATCTGTCAAAGATTTAGGAAAAATTAATGGTTAAAAAGTTAGAATAGAGAAATTTCTACCCATTAACTGATTTTTTTTTTCACTGTGAGCTATCCCATCTGTACTGGGCATGGTTCCAGACTAAGCAGCCACTGTCCCTGGAGAACATGGCTTGAGAACCCCTACTCTACCCTGGGATATAAAAATCTAAGCTCTTCGGCATGACCGATGAGACCCTTTCAGATCTGACCCCACCTTATCTTCCAGCCTCACTTACAGCCACTGCCTGCCCCACTTCCATTCTCTCTGGCAGGCCAAGACTTGGAATCCCCTAACTGTTCTCTGTCCTTCTTCTGTGATTTTACACATGGTGGCCTTCTACTGTCCCCCATCCCTGACCCCCTTGCTGGTCAGATAAACTACTACTTATACTTCAAGACTCAATCCCAATGACTCTTCAGGGTGCCTTCGCTCACCCCTCTGGGTTCCTACCTCCCCAAGGTCTTGCTCCTGACTGATTACATCACTTATCATATTACTGGTTGTTTGTGGAGCTCTCTGGCAACTGGCCTGGGAGCTCTGCAAGATCACAGTAGGGGTTCTTGTCACCCATTTTTTTCTTGAGTTCTCTGATGCTAAGCACAGTGGCTGATGTGCAGTGGAGGCTCAGTGCATATTTGTGAAAGAGATGAGTAAAATTATTACAAAAGAGGCAAAGTTTACCTTTAGAACTCCACAACTCCCTACAAGGGTCCCCTCTCCCTCTTTTTTTTGCACCCCTTTCCCAGCCCTAGGCACTCTGTACCGTCCTGCTACCCACTGTAGAAACCCACCAGGGTCATCAATTATTGCTACAGCCCAGGTTTCAAACTTTCCCCTTGGTATCCTACCAGACCTTCCTAGTCCTGTGTCTCACCCCTCCACGACTAGATTTCAGATAAACCAGTGCTTCTCAAACCTTAACGTACATCAGAATCCCCTAGAGGACTTGTTCAAACACAGATCGCTGCGTCCTAGTCCTGGAGGTTTGGATTCAGTAGGTTGGTATGAGGGGGGCTGAGAATTTGCATTTGTAATAACTTCCCAGGTGATGCTGCTACTGCTGATCCAAAGACCACATTTTGAGAGTCACCGGAATAAACAAATGTAAAAGCAAGGGCTAGCAGGTAACAGTGCACCAAGGAATCTTTAATTCATCTTGACTCAGCCCCTCAACTGCATTTCAGATTCTATCAGCACTGTCTGGATTTGGTTAATCCCAGATCATTTTCCCTCTGCTTCACTTTGTCCTCCTCCTCCCACTTCCTGATTTTACTTTTCAGATTTGTCTCAGAGTTTCTTCACTTTAGATTAAGTCGACTGTCCTTCTCTTTCTCCTTTCCTAAAGGCACAGTTTCAGGACAAAGCCCTTTCCTGAGCAGTTAGTTCCATTTTACTGTCCTCTTCCCCCTCCCGGCTCCCCCCATCCAGTCTTAGTACCTCATGCCCCAGCAATCAGAATAGCCTTTCTAAAGCTTGGCTCCCATTAGGGCTCACTTCCATCTAGCGGGGGTTGCCATTTCCCTTCCCTGAGGAGTCTGGTTCCACAAACAACATCAGCATGCTAATGACAGTCACTTGCTGGCTCTGGGGAGTCCGCTGCTTACTCCAGCTCCCTTAAGGACAGTGGAAACACTGAAAACACCACATTTCTGTGCTTCCGTTCATTTATTCAGTCAACAAACTTTGATTGAGCACCTACCAGACACTGTGCTGGGCCCAAGGGACCCTGCCAGGACACACAGAACATGAACAAATGTTCATGGCAGTGCCTGAGGATCCACAACGTCTCTAAGAAGGGGATTGTTTTGCCCACTCATCAAAGGGGGGCAGACATTGCAGGACCACCCCTGAGAGCCCTCCTGTCTGTCTGCCCAGCACAGAAAACTGGGAGACACAAACCCAGGGAGTTTCCAAACCTCTTTGTTGAAATAAGCATTATAATTCACATCTCTGTTTTTGGCCTACTGCATTGAGCGAGATAAGGTACGTGAAGGCCAGAACATAGCGAGCTAAAACCTCTCTGCACATACCCCATCCACACTGACATAACACACTGAGACACACACAATAGCACGTATACCAGCCCACACATTGACATGTACATACTGAAGCACATCAACATACAATACTGGGATACACAGCTTTACATAAATACTGACACACACTGAAAATACACACTGATACACACATCAACACAGACACACTGAAACACATACACACTGGCCAACATGCACCAACAAATACAAACATAGGAGTAAATGCATGCTAATACACATACATAGATACATACTGAAACACAGACACACAGCAGACAGGCACACTGACATACAAAGGCACACCTACTCACACATCAACACCAACTCACACTTCACAGAAACTGGGAGGCCCAGTCCCTGGGGACGAGGGAGGGGAGCTTGCAGATGCACGAGGCAGGTCTTGGAAGGATGAAAGGGTTGCAGAAGACGAATTACACATTTTGTTCCAGCCTGAGAGGTCTAGTGTTTTGGAGGAGGAGGAGGACTCCCCCTGGTTCTGAGGGTCCCTAGAGACAGGTGGGCAGAGTGGAGCACACTGGCGGGCCACCAAGGATTCCGCGCTTAGGTGCTGGGCCCAAATGTTCGGAGCTTTGGTCAGAGCGGAGCACTAAGACGGGAGGACAGTACACTCGGAGGCAGGCAGGGTTCCCTGGAGCTTCACCCACCTGCCCAGCTCCAGGTATCAGCTCTCAGCTCTGGCTTTCAAATTTATGCTTCCGATCCCGCCGCCACTCAAGCCCCATATCCAGAACAGAGCTAGTGACCTCGGTCCCTTCCCCATCTACTACGCCCCAGCCTTTTCCAGGGAAGACCTGTCTCCTTCGCAGTCACCCATACTGGAAGCAGCAGGTCCACGCTGACTTCCCTCCCCCATCCCGTCCCGGTCCAGCCTTACGGGGGTTCCTGCTACAGCCTTGTGTTTCTTTCTTCTGTACTACCCGTCGCCCCTCCCCCCCACCCCCCGCCCCCAACACACACATGCAAATCCTCTGCCCTCCTGTTCAGGACACGCTTAATTGGTCGCTTCCTGAATGCCAGTCCCCGAGCTAGGCACTGGGGATGCTTTTGTGCGAGTCCTCGTTTTCCAGGTGCACGTAAGAAACTCCCTGAGACACGGGTGAGAAACACTGCCCCTGCATTAGAATCAAGTGCCAGAAAAGAGCTTCACGTGGCCACCCATTTCTCTGCCTTTCTTCTTTTCCCCCAGGCCCAAGCTACTCAGTCAGGTCCCTTCTTCCTCTGTCTCCCTGGTTCCTGTTTTTCTGCTTTTCTCCCTCCTGCCTCCCTCTCAGCCGCTCCCGCCTTGGGCAGCTGCGGCGCCAACCTCCCGGCGCCCCCATCCCGGACCCCCTGCGGACCCGGTTTTCGCCCATAGGCCTGCCTCTCCGACCCGGTCCCGGGTGCCACTTTAGGGTCTGGGTGCCCCTTTGAGACCAGGGCACTTGTCCTTCTGAGGAGTGGAGTGTCCTGCCCTCTCGGGCCTCGGGCACGACCAATCTGCTGGGGTTCGCCGGTCCCAGGGTACTAGCAAGAGGCAGTCCCGGGGGAGGAGGGAAGGGGTGTCAGGGCTGGAGAGGCGGAGAGCGGCCGAGAGCAACAGAGAGGACCCGAGGCGGCAGTTGGCCGGGAGGAAAAGGAAGTCAGATAGGCATAGTCTCTGCTGTCGGAGGCTCTCTCCTCTGTGCACTGCCCACCGCCTAGTCCGGGGCTCATTCAAGGTTAAGGGGCAATAAGGGCGTGGGGCAGAGGTACTTGCGGCAGCGGCAGCTCTCCCCTCCCTCCTCATTATCCCGCTCAACGGAGCTGAGGGTCTTCACCCCAAGCCCCTCCTCTGAGTCCCCTGCGGTCCAGGCAAGAGAGGGGGTGGGAGGGGGCTGAACCTTGGCTCCCAAGACTGTCTGCGGCGGGGTGGGGAGAGGAGGCATGGGGCCCGTTTGTATTAAATACCCAAACAGTGGTGGCTCAGCTGCGCGAAATTACAGCCCAAGGTACGCGAGGCTTAGAAACCCTAGGGCAGAAGGGGCGCTTCATTTTAAGACTGCTGGCCTCAGACTCCGCATGTCACGGCTCAGCTGCGGGGCCGCAGTGCGGCTACCCTCACCGCCCCCTTTCTCAACTCCGCCATGGAGCGGCAGGTGCCGCAGCTGCCCCCCCTCCCCCCGGCCTTAGCAGCACTCCTGGGCCACGGAAGTGGTGGGGGGGGGCAGGTGTGGCGGAGCAACGAGACTACAGCGGCAGGGACTCGAATCCCAGCACCCTGATATCTCAGTGGAGACGAAGAGGGGGTCCAGGGACCTGAAGAAGGGATACTAGGTCTGCAAAGCTCAGCCGCCTAGCTGTGCGAGGGAGGGGGAGGGGCGGGGGCTCCCCTCTAGCCTGCGGGGTCTGGGGATTCAGGGATGTAAGGAGAGAGCAGGGGGGTGTGACAATTCAGCAGAGGTCGGGCCGTACCACGGAGCCCAGTGGAGGGGGGGGCAGGACGTGGTCACCGAGGGGAGCCCCCGCCCCTCTTCGCAAAGGCCAGACACTGAGGTTGTGGGCAGAACTGGAACCCGGTTGGTAGGGGGAAGCGGCGCGTTAAATCCGTCCCCTTCCTAGACCCCACTTTCGAGGGGCTGGGCGATAGAAGGGAGGTTGGGGTTGGAGCAGCGGCGAGGGGGCTCCTCCCTTGCACCTCCCCCCACCGGACTTGGTCGCGCCCGAAGTGTAACACTTTCTCTTTGTCGGAGGAGCTCCACTGTTTCCTGTGCTGGAGCTCCCGTTGCGGCGGCGCTCGTGGCAGCCCTGGCGGACGCAGGAGCGATGGCAGCAACCGACATAGCTCGCCAGGTGGTGAGTATGGGGCTTGGGTGCCAGCACCCGGGACAGGGCCCTGCGCAGGGTGGAGGAGACCTGGCCGCTGTCACCCCCACCGCAAGGAGGGTGGTGGGCAGCGTCCAGGAGCCAAGGCGCGGCGGGACTTCTGCTCCCGGGATCAGTGGCTCAGTCCCGCAGCCTGTCCCCGAGAGCCACAGCGGAGGTGGGCGGTTGTGGGGCTTGGACAAGGCTGCGGACCGGCGGTTGAACTTGAATTGCCCAAGGTCTGCAGTAAGTGCCGCTGCTTCTCTCCTTGCAGCCGCGTTCCCGCCGCTGGGGCGTTGCCGAATGAATGGCCACACGAGTCGCCAAGCCCTCCGCGTCTCTGGCACCCTGGCCTGGCTTCTTAGACCGCCGGGCCGCCCCCTTGAGCGCAGCTGCCCGTCACAACCCGGTCTCCTTAGGAAGAGGGGCGCGGGGCTAGGGTTAGCCGGGGGCATGAGGCCATGAGTGGTGAGGGGGACGGGGAGGTGACTGGCGGGGGGAGGGGTTCTCCATATGCATTACATATGTGACTGCGTCCGTGAGTGTGTAGCACTGTGTGCGTCTCAGTGCACGCGCGCGCACTCGTGCCTCCTGGGCGGGCGACGGCGCCCGCCTGCTGTCTGACCCTAGATGAGTCTGCCAGTTTCTCTGAATGTGCTCACCTCCAGGATGTGTGCAGACGCCTCTCCGCTTGTGCTGCGTACCTCTGGGTCCCATTTGCGCGTCTGTGTGGGATGCAGTCCGCTGGCTTGTACGTGGTTGGCTGCATATTTTGGCAGGTTTCTGAGCACCTGACCAGGGTTGTGCGGGCCTCTGGGGGTCTGTAATGGTGTGTGTTCAGTGTAACTGGGCTTGTGTGCCAAAACTTGTGAAGCTGGATTCTTTCTGTGGGGACTCAGGAAAATAACTGTGAGGTTTGCAAAAAGCGGTGCCGTCTCTCTTTTTGTTGGCAACAGACTCTGGAAACAAAAAAAAAAAAAAATCATTTAAAGAACTGAAGTTTTCCAGCCTGGGATGAAGAGAGAAATTATGTTGAAGTGACCCGAGGCTCCATGTTTGTTTTTTTAGACCAGAAGTTTGGTTGCAAAGGAAAGGGATGACTCTATTTGGGGGAACAACCTAGCCTTTCTATTTATCTATGGGTTTCTGGAATTTTCAGAAGCCCACAATTACCAGCACCTCGAGGCCAGGAAGGAGAGTGAAGGAGAGGTAGGTCAAATCCCATGACACCATATACTACTTGATGACAATCTCAATACGCACGCGTTTTAAAACCTTGTGGTTTACTTTTTAAGGGAAATAGTCTGTGCAGTGCAATTCCAGTGCAAAAAAAAAAAAAAAAGCTAGTAAGGTATTTGTTGTAATTGATACTGATTTGTTTTCAAAATCTGAATCCAGAATCCAAGCATTTTCTCTACAGGACATGGATGAATTTATTCCACCCTCTTGTCCCTGTTTGGAAGGGCAGATTTTTTTGGAACCTCCCCCAACTCCTGCAGACCCCAGCATAGGGCTCTTTATGTATTCATGATGTGGAAGGACTCAGTAGATAGGATGCACTGGGATAATGGAATTTGAGAGAATTCTCTTCTCCCCAAGATTGGCACTGTAATATTTATTGCTTGAGAGTTTTGAGGGTTCCCAAAGTGCTTTTCTCCTCCTCGTTACCTGCATTTTAGAGATGGTGTGGCTTAAGTAGAAGAATTAGTCTCGTGGATTACATTTCCCCATCCTTAGTGACCAAAGAGGATGCTAATGATTTTCCTTGTCAGCTAATTAATTTGCATTGACCTGTCTATACTCTCTCACCAGTCCCCTTGCCTGGATTAGGATTTCAGGGCGGATGTTGCAGAGAGGAACCTTCTAGAAGGTTGTGTTTCACCTCAGGAACAACTCTGGCAGCCCAGAGATCCCCTTTGTTCTGTAGATTGCTGCGGGGGTGGGGTGGGGATGGGGGTTGGAGACTGGGGTCATTTGATTTGCTTTGCATAGTTCCAGTTTGCTCTGGCCGGTCTTGCCATTCTGTAGGATGAAGAAGATAATTGCAAGCCAGATTCTGAAGCTCAAAGAGCAGCCTGAGCACTTGAGACCTTGTTATCGTGATAAATGGGTTTCTGGGAAAACTGACGTCACTCTCCCTGTCCCCCTCCCCCAGCCAGTGAAGCTCTTGTTTTATGTGTCATTTGTCTCTCTGCCGTCCTTTGTGTCTGCAAGAAGTTGTAATTCACCAGGGGAAGATGGAATTAACTCAGGAGACCTTGGACATCTGGTTGCAGCTTGTTTCTTCTAGGGAACGTGTATCCAGGGGTTGGGAAGAGAAGACAGGAGAATAAACCTAAATGTGCCTCGCTTAGAAGTTCTGTTTTGTGAGCTCTGGGGTATGGTGTCATGCAAGTAGTCCTCTGGGGAGTGTGTGTCCTTTCCAGAGTCAGTTAAGGGTCCCTCTGGCTAGACTAAAACAGGCCCTAGAGTTGTTAGGTAGGGCCCTCACTTGGGCATGCATGCAACTTGCAAGTTCAGTTCTCCTCTACATAATGCAGTCCCGTCCCATTTGAATGAACACTACACAGATTCTGCATGACAACATCGTTTTCTCTATTGTGACCACAAGTGTTTGATTGACTGCTAAATGTCTAGCATGATGGCTAACCCTGCTCCACTATACAAAAAAAAAAAAAAAAAAAAAGTAGACATAGTTCCTGGCTTTTAAGCTTACAGTCTAGTTGGGAAGATGATTGTGGAATCAATAGAGAACTGCAGCAGATTCTTGGGATGGTCGCACCTCCAGCCCATTTGTGAGGTGGCTTGGCTGCTATTAATACATCCATACGCTGAAGGGAGACATGACCTGATCAAGGTAACCTGGCCAGGCGCAGGGCAGGCCCCGGGCAGGCCCCAGAGGCTGCACTCCTGGCTCTTGCATTGAACTGTTTCTTTCAGCGTTTTAGTTACAGATTTAAGTGCTGGCTCACAGAAAGAACCTTGATTTTGGCTTGAAACAATCCCACAATGTGGGTGGGCAATGATGCTTTCCTCCAGCAGCAGCCAGGTAATGGTCTTTCTCCCTAATGAAAGAGCTTGCACGCGCACGGCCTGACTTTGCCCTAGCTACGGTCGGCCTGGGGGTGACTGCCTTAGGGCAGCTGCCTACAGATGGCTGCATTCTGGGCTTGCTGTCAAATGGCACTCCTCCTTGATTTGCCTTGAAGCTCCCTGCCTCAGCCATCTCCACCATTTCACACTGAAAGTAATATTATACCTTAAACAGGGAGAACAAACCCCAATATTCACCCATGCCTATACTGGGGATATAGCACTGAAGAAAAATTTACGTGTCCCCAAATATTCAAACCTCTTGAATCTAAGTCAAGGGTATATGGATGATCATTGTACTATTTCCCAACTCTTCTGTGTGTTTGAGTCATCAAAATAAAAAGTTGAGGGGAAAATTACAATGCACACCCTCCCAAATGCACATGGCCCCTTCCCTCGGGGAGTTTACATTCTGGTAGCAGAGGCAGACACCAATAACTATGTAATTACCATGTGGTAAGTGCTGCACAGGAGAGCTACTGCCTGCTGTGAGAATTCATTATAAGGGAACCTAATCCAGCAGTGGATGGAAGTGGTGTGTGATGAGACAGGCTTCCTGAGGGCTTCAGCTAGGAAAAGGGTAGGTGTGAAGATGGGTGAGATCTCACTTCTCCTACTGGGCTAGGGATATTTCCTTTGTTAATCCACACAGTTCTATTTTCATTCATTTCTTCAATATGTACTTATTGGGCAGCGACTCTGCCAGGCCATATGTCAGGTGCTGGGGATCTAGTGTGGTCAAGGCAAATAGGATGCTGCCCTCTCAGAGCTTCCAGATGAGAGGCAGGAATAAGCCCCGTTTCCTTTCCCTATCCTAAATCCCAGAAATATGTTAGCGGTGTTCTTATTCCAAAACTGTATTATAGCTGAGTGATTTGTCTGTATAGTATAATGAGATTTTGATCTTCAGTCATGTGCATAGCATTAACTTTGTGAAGTCTCTGCTGTAAATTTTCTATTAATTGCTGGCTTTGTTACTCAGAGTGGCCCCTCCCTTTGTGTGCTGAAGGGCGTGCACCTGGTGTATTAGCGGGACAAAACTAATTAGACGGCTAAGTCCCCTGGAAAAAGGCATCCCAGAATGAAACAGGACTGATTTCTGCACTTGCCTGGGCTCCCGGATTATCAGAGTTGGGGTTTCATGTCAACGTGACCAATTGAGAAGGCTTCTATTGCATGAACATTAAAACCACATTCAAGAAGGAAAAGGAAAAAAGAAAACGAATACCATGAATAAGTGTAACATGTTTCTTTCAATGATCTCAAAATGCTTCCATCTGTATGATTTCATTTTCCCCAACAGCTTCCTGGACAAGTATTATTGTCCTCTTTAAAGTGAACTGGTCCAAAGTGTTATTGCTGGTCAGGAGATGAAACAATGAAACACCTACCAGATGACACAGATTCATTAAAAAAGAACCCCAAAACCCAAACACTGCTGGTCTTTTCATGATGTTTCCAAGAAATAAAACTCCTACCATGTCCTCTCTTCTCCCTTTTTCACTGCAACCCCCATAGCACACTCATGGGGGTCAGAGGAGAGTATGCTTGGGTGCTATGAAGATTCTTGATGTTAAAAAGATTCTCAGCTTAAATCCAGATAGCACAGTCATGAGTTTTTCTTTCTTTTTTTCTCCATATTGCTTTAAATAAAAATCTTGGAGCCACCAGCCATGTAATGATGGATTATTTTAAGTAACAACTGGAATGGGGCAGAATAAATTAGAAACACAGACCCTTCCTCCTCGGTTTGGCAGGAGGAGGTTTCTGGTGCCGCGATTTGGGATTTGAAACCGTGCGTTTCTCTGTTGCTTGCACAGAGGAAGGAGGCCACATGTTCAGGAGGGTTAGACATAATTTTATCCTCTCCTTCAGTGTCTTCTTATTAGAAGCAGCCA